CCAGATCTATCAAAAATCTAATTCAGAATCAAAAAATGTCCAGAATCACACAAATTTGCACCAATACTCTCTGCAGCAAGCCCAGCAGCACAGAAAGACTATCTGGCAACAAAATAATATCTCGGTCTCCCCAGTCGAGAGTGATATTGATAGTGAGATGAAGTTGCCGATCAACACCTACCAGGCCCCACAGCAGGAAAATGATGAAGATGAGGAGTTTTGTCTGGCTGTAGATGAAGAGAGCGGAAAATTAAATCAATGGCAGGACAATCAACCTAGCAGTCTGGGCTGTGATGAGGCACTACCGTCAGAGGACCCAGGTTTTTACCTAAACAACAATATCATCGACATAGACAATGCCGATCAAGCTGAGACTTCTATTTCAGAGGATAATAAGACTAAGAGAGTGGAACCACCAACAGAGCCCAACACGTTTGATACACTGTAAAACGAGAGCACAATATATAACAATACTTGGAGTTGTATGACTGATATAGATATGATTCATTCAACTTCATAAATGCATTGTTTACATCATTTAACTATGAACCTGCATTACTCTTTTTCGATATATATATATTTAGGCAAGTGTAAATAATTAAAATTTTTAATTTATTTAAATTTAAAAATATACAAATGCATTGCAAATTTTAAAGAAAAATACGCATCACATGAGAGACCATGCAAAATTACGCGAAATTTTTCCTATATTCATGGTTATCTAAAACAACTATCAACTAATGTTTTCTAGTAAACATGCACAAAATGTCAAATGTGACCAAAGTTTGCACGAAAATGCTTGATTTGTAGCTTTGCAAACGATGAAACTTAATTGTGTGTACAAATGGCGCTTGATCTGAAGTATAATAATGTATCCAAGAGACAGAGAACAAAAGATGATTGTGGTATATTTTCTGCATAATTTGGTTGTCTCTATTAATAACTATGATAATAATAATGAGGATGAAAGGAACTTATTCAATGTCAACTAAAAATTAAAGAATATTAGATATGGGATGCAATACCAATTTTATCAGTAAGAGGTTGCATAAGTCTTCGATCCATTCTGCACCGAGGATCACAATCTTAATTGGGTCATCGGTTTTAGGTGTTTCGAGACGTTGAACTCGGCCTCTGTTGATTCGATTATGTCCTGTAAGTCGAGTCCATCTGTGATTTCCTCAAGAGTCAGTCCTTTTTCCTTGTCTATACTGAAAACAGCCTGATCACAAGGCAAGATAAATTAATCAGGGTAAAAGTGGACCTAATCATGAGGCGCTGGAAGGATATGCTTTCATGATAGTGTGAGTAATCGCAATTATATTCATTATTAGATAATAAGAGACCATCCAAGCATATTAGCATTGAAAAGAAGTATCGTAAAGCTAGTAAATTAATACTAATAAGTAAACTATGGAGGCAATAAAACATAGTGTGGCTGAGCTCAACAAAACTAAATGGTGTGATTGTTCAATGTAGCTATCAGACGCAAATTCAAAGCCAGATGGATTTTTCTTGAAATTTTTAGATTTAAATTTGGTTGATGAATTTGATTTAGTGCTTTTTAATACCGTTCGTTTGTGATGCCTATCTTAAGTAAGGAGTCTCATTCATTAGAAAT